GAGTTTGGGAAGTTTGAATGGGATGGTTCAGGGTGGTGGGAATAGGCAACGGGTTGGGGTTAGGAGTTAAGTTTTGGGTTTTGAGTTTTGAGTATGGGGTATCATTATCATTATCATTATTATGGTCTTGCTTGTGTGGGATTCAAATTGGGTTTGGCATTGGGATTGGAATTAGCATCGAAGTAGGATTGGGATTGGGATTAAAATACATATGTGCATGTATGCATTGGAGAATGATATCGATATACCAGGATTTTGAATGGATTCTTAAGGATGTCCAAGAGGGGGGTTTTTATCTATGAAGGGAAAACTAAAGGGATGAGATGATATGGAGTTTCTTGTATATATCTATTTACAAGTATTAATATTACTTCTTCCTATGGAAATTCCATATGGAACTGAGAATTGAGGATTGCATTTGAATTTTGAATGATTGATAAATACATGAATAGAAGATACTATTTTATATATATATGTCACGGAATTCACCGTCTTGTGCAACAACACGTGATTGAGCATGGCACTCCTACGAAGTACTTATTCCTATGATCACCACATAGTCTTCTATTCATTTCATATGTGAACCCTAATACCTAATTAGGCGACTTCGTCGCTCGATCAGGGTATATAAGGTAGGCATGATCCTTATGATCATACAACAAGTCAATCTAGTTTATTATCACTATACATACCTATTATATGATCAGAGTGACCAATCGACATAGCTATCCCTCCGTGATAATATATCTATAGTTTTATTTATATGTAAGAGTTATAGTCTTAGCTTATTGCACACTAAGCGAAAACATATCAAAAACTCTTATTTCTTTAACTTTTGAATTATATATTATTTTAATTAAAAAATAAAACAAATTTTTTGAATAAATATTTAGAATAATAATTTAATAAAATAATTTAATAAAATAATTTAAAAAAATAAATAGAATATTTTTAATAATTTTTTTAAAAAATTTGTAAATCTTTGAAATCAAAACTTTCAAAAATTTCAAAAAATCGATTTTTTTGTATAACAAAAGTGTTAACGTGATTTATCAGTGTACAGGTTATATCAATATGCGGGTCATTTTCACCTCAATTCACTCTTTCAAACTCATATTATTGAACAATTATTGAATCAATTAATTAAAACTATAAAAATTATAATAAGCTAGGATCTATTATATTATTTTAATAAGTTCTTATATTATATTCAGTCTTTCCATATTTATTATAATATTAATTAGAAAATACTTTCTTATTAAAATTCCTCTTTTTTTAATGTTTATTGTGTTGAATTTGAATATTAATTTTTTACTAAAATAATATATTAAAAACTTTTTATTTAATAAATATTTCTTTTTAATATAATTGAGTTTTTTTTGTGTATCAATATTTGCTTAATGCTTTATTTGCTTTCTAAAATATATAAATCTTTATATTTAAGAGTGTATTTTTATAAGCTAATCTCTTTATATTTTTAATTAAAGTTAGTATAATTTCAAATATAAATGTTAAGAAATTTAATTAATAATGAATTATTTGAGATTTAATTAATATTAATTAAGAAAAAGCTTTAATTGAATTATAAGAGATTTGAGAGGTTTATTGATTTAAATTGAAAGAGGGGGGGGTAAATATGTAAATTCAAATATTTAATTTCGAAAATATAGTTTTAGAATTAAATAGAATTAAATCTATTTTTCGAAATTCTGATTTTATATTCTGAAAAATAATTGATTTTTTATATATAGTTTTAAAAGCTATAAAGAATTCAATTTTCGAAATATAATTAATATATATCTTAATAAATCCATTAATTTGATTATTATATAAATATTTCAGATTACTAAAACAATTTATATTAAATAATTAAATTAGATAACTTGAATACAGTAATAAATATAAATATATAATATTGTTTTTTTTGTAATATACTTAAAAAACTCTTGATTTATAATTTTTATATTTATTTAATATTAACATTCGATATTTGCTCTTTTTTCAATTCTTAATATATTTATCAAAATATTTTAATTATTCTAAATCTATTTTATTATTTGTTTATCCATTAAATATAAATTTAATAATCTAATTCATAGGAAAATCGGTTTTGGTATATTAATTAAAAAGATAAACCTATTTTTAAATTATTAGAAATGGGGGTATAATTTTATTTTTTCTATTACTATATATAATCGCTATAGCTCATTTTCTATTATTTAGTTATATTATTTTATTTCTATTATTTCATTTAGTATTAATTATTATTATTCTGGGATATATTATATTTATTATAAAGTCTATTTCGTTGAAATTATAGAAATCATAATTGAAAATATTATATTTTGCTCATATATTTGAAATTAATTAAAATTACTTTTTAATAAACTTAAAGTCTTTATAAAAAGCTTTTTAAAAGTTATAAATATAATTAAAATGTATTTTTAATTTGATTTAATATTTTATAAATTAATATACTTAAAGCTTCTCAATATACTTTATATTTCTTGATTTAAAAATATAATTCACTATATCTTCTATATTTCTTAATTTAGGTAAAAATTCTTTTATATTTATATTGATTATATATTCAGAAATAATATTCTCTTCTAATTCTAAAAGATTATAAGATTTAGATTGATATTTGGAATAAAAAATAATATTATTAATTCTATACTGTAATATTGTATTCAAGATATTATATATCTTTGCAACCTTTCGAATACTTGATTTTTTGTCTTTTTGAATAGTTTCAATAATAAGGAGTATATAGACTTCTTAATTATTAGAATTTATTATAAATTATTAATAAAAATACATATTAAAAGAAAAGAGAATAAATTGAGATGAAAGTGATCCGCATATTGATATAACCCGCACATTGATAAATCATGTTATATATAATAATTTTTGAAAAATTTCAAATTTAAAAGTCAATAATTTTTCCAAAAAAAAATATAAAAATATTTCATTTATTTTTTTTAAATTTAAAATATTAATATTTCTTATATATCAAATTTTCAAATCAATAATTTAATATTTAATGAAATAATTAAAGCAATTAATTTATATGGAAAAACAGCTTTTTTATAGGGATTTTGTTATAAAATAAGGTGGTGTGTGATAAGCTAAGGCTACAACTCTTATATAGGTATCTACTTGTATTATAACAAGTACTCAGTTATGAGTAGTAATAAATAAGTACCTAGGTGTATGAGAATAAGTATATAAGAATAAATATATAAGAATAAGTATCTAGACAAACTTTCTACAAACTTGCTCCCTATACAGCTTTCCAGTTCTTTTCCCTAGGTATTCATATCTAGTATCTTCCAAGTAAGTCAGAATAGAAATGAGCAACTGCCTGACAAGTGATAGGAAAAATCGCACACTGCAGGTGATGTAATGTCCGTTATGAAAAGATCAATATGATTGGGTTATTGGGATTTGATATTTAGGTATCGAGGTAGGTATCTAAAATAATTTTGGAATATATACATTTTTATTAATAAAATATGATGTATGTGGTGCGGGGGGAATTAGTTGTAAATAGGTACCTAATACTAGCAAGAACTCTTCTTTTCATAGGTAGGTAGGTACTTTTAGCAAGCTATCTTTCAATCGCTCCAATTTAGGTACTCTCTGATTGAAATGAATTGAATGAATGGCTTTATCTATTTCCTAGATACAATAGTACTCGTAGGTAGCGCATGCTTTTTATTGTATTGTATTCTGTGATTGTGATGTAATGTAGAATAGAAAATTGACATCTTACTTGAAATTTATATCGATATAGGTAGATAGTTTTTTGATCTTTTTATAAGGAGTGGTGGAGTCATTTATTAGGAGTATATAATCATGATTGTAAGGTTAAATTAATGGAGAAGTACGAGTAAGCAATATCTATAAATGAATTAGTTTTAGAATATGCATTTGAAGACTGGGATTTGAATTGTTGAATTAGTTTTTTTTTGTGATTTGGATTTTGGAGAGAGGGGGTTCTTTTGTTTATTTTATTTATCTTTATTTATCTTTATTTATCTTTATTTATCTTTCTGCTCTTTGAGAGAGTGAGTGTATTTTGCAGGTTTTGGTTTTTTGAATTTTGGTTTTTGGAGGGAGGGAGGGAGGGAGGGAGGGAGGAAGGGAGGGAGGGAGAGAGGGTGCAACGGGTGGGTATGGTACGTCCTGATACTCCTGGCTCCACATCGTCCTCGCTTATCTACTTACTCCTTGCCATAGAGACACGCTACCGTAAATTCCGACTCCACTCTCCACTCCCAGTACCCGAGAAAGTTTTTTTTTCTCTAAAAATTTGATTTTGAGATGAAATTTTCTTGCACTGCTCTCCCTCTCTCCACACAGATTGATTTGGTCAATGTTTTATAACTCCAAATTAGAGAAGAATAAATATCAAATATCAAAGCCGCCCGGCTAGCTCAATCGGTAGAGCGTGTGACTCTTATACATCGAGCGATGAAATTTGTCAATCACAAGGTTGGGGGTTCGACCCCCCCGTTGGGCTCAATTCCCATATTCTCTTTTTTTTCTTGTATTTTTATTTTATTTTATGGCTTTTTTGGGGGGGGGGTATTTATTCTCTTTTGGATTTGGATTTATAGAGTATAGAGTTATTGTGTGTGAGAAGAGGGATTAATCGATGATGTATGAATTCATGAGATGTTATCTTCTTGTAATAGTACCTAGGTATTTATATTTATCTTTTGTAGGGAAGGGGAAATGAATTAAATTCAAATGAACCAACTACATAGAGGTACCTAGTAGGAGTGACTAGAGGAAAGATCATGTATAGGGTATTTAAAATGATCATATACGTTTTTGAGATACTTGACACTGAACTCCTCTTCCCTTCTCTGCTCCTCCACCTCTCTCTACACCTTTTCTATCTTCTTCTATTCATCCCCATCCCCATCCTCACCCCTCATCTCATCTCCCATTCTCTCCTCCCCTCTCCTCCCATTCCCTTCCAGAATACCCACTCATCCACAAAGTCCCGGCGCAACTACAGAGTTTGTCTTTCCAGCCACACAGTTATAGTTCGCATCAAAATTATCAACAATAAATCCAATCGATCCCACCGTTCCAAGCAATCCTCCCAACAGTCCACCCAAAGACGGACCTACCTCCTGCAAAATCTCCGACGCGACGATTTGGAAGGAGAGCTTGGCGACGTTTGTCCATGTACTGGGGAATGTGCATTGTTCGACTGTGTAAAAAAAAAAGGATTAACATGTATCTTCCTGCGTAAAAACTCGGCTAGAAAGAAGAAACTCACCAAGTCCCAATCCATCATATCCACACCCCGCAACATCCTCATATGTCGATCCATCTGTCTTGAATGCTGTAACCTGCACTGTACACGCAACCCCCGGGCTCACACCCGTCGTGGTACTAATATAGCATGCAAAACTTGCATGATTGGCTTTGAAAGAAGCAACAGGAGAAGCGAGATAAACGGATGTGATAGTGGAGCCGTTGAAACCGACAGCGGCTTGCTGGCCGTAGATTTGTTGCAGGAGGGCAGCTGCGCCGGTTTTCAAAATGGCGCGCCAGGTACCACCGTAGGTGAGTTGGTTGTAGAAGGTAAGGGGGGCGTTGCTGCTGAGTGGAGGAATACCGCCGATGGGAATACTTTCGTACTAGATGTGAGATGGTGTTAGCAATGTGTGGGAATGTATGGTGTGACAGCAGGTAGTTTGACGGAGCTACATACATCATTGAGAACTTCTCCGGAAGTTCTGGCTACTAGTTCAGTGTTTGATCGGGGAGTGATTGCAGGGATACATTGACCAGTTGCTTCTGAGTTGACTTGTCCGGAAAGACACTTATATGTGGAGGCGAAATCGGAAGAGGTGATGTCTTCGAACTATGGAACATGTTAGGGTTGATTAGGGGGGTGATAAAGATGTTGTGAACGTACATTGGCTATGATTGGTGTGGTACGTTTTACAATTTGAGTAGGAACTGCAGACACAAGAGTTGCGCCCAGCAAAATTGAGAGAAAGGATGCTTTCTTGAACATCATTATGAGGAATCAGAGGATTTGAAGCTGGAGAGGATTGATGGTGAGAAATGCCAATTCTCTAGGAAGAAGCTGATTGAGTGTGAATGACTTGAGAAGGGATGCCGAGTTGGAAGAATGGGAAGAGGGTATCTGGTTCTCTTTATATACTTGTTTCTCTCAATGTCTTGGAAAAACACTTGTGATGGCACCGGACATTGCCCCGATCGATTAAAAGTTCGATAGATTGTAGAAAACTGTGATCTTTGACTTTACTGGCTCAAGGAAGCCTCTCGAAAGTAACTAGGGAACGAGAGGCAGACAATAAATCAAAAGCTCGTGTGAGAATATAATAGAATAGAGGATCGATGGTCCGTAGAATCCTAGATTTGTGAGATAATTGGCTCGAAATAAATTCCTCCACTTAGGTTGGAAACGGAAAACAAATGAGATATGCATGAGAAGCTCGAATTGAAAATCGATGGCGGTAAACCAGAACGACGCATTTCGGAAATAACCGCTTTTGACGGTGATAGATATCTTGCTGACATCGTGATTGTTCTTTCTAAGAAAAGGCAATGAAGAAACGCATCATCTGACTCCGGTTTCTGAACATTTCTATACTTCTCTCTATCGAATTCTAAGGATAGTGAAGGCATGGATGAACTACTATCCATGATTGGCAGCCCCAGACTTATGAGGCATCTAGATTTTCAAAACTCGGCCAAGTGAATTTGCTAGCTTATATCCTCCTCCGGATGGTACCCCGGATGGTGGTCTATGGATCCATTACTCGTGCGGTCAAGACGTATACATTTCCGCCTCTAAGAAAGCCAATTTACTGCTTTTGTAGTCTGCCATGTTCTGATATCTGCATCTAGCCTTGCAATGCATACGTTCTGGCCACACAAGCACCTCGTCTGTCTCATTTTGTCAATCCTTCCAGTCTGTCATCTTCAATTCAGCCGCCAGGTCAGCCGTCCCACGGATGCTTATTACAAATTAAAACCATCAATAGTAGTGATAGGTCTAACTTGACTTCCAGGAGGATTTTTGTGGCTTTTCTATGAAGATAAATCAGATCGGAATGCATGTTTGTAGATGTGGCTGCATATCAATACTACCTTCCTGAAAGTAAGGTAGCATTGATTCACCGGCTATGCACGGCAAAAGACGCAGATAGAGGTCTTCCAATTCCCTTTATATGGGTTCTTATTAATATACTGACCAATTGGAAGTGTTTCATAATCACATATGGCTGAAATGCATTGGGTGTTCAGCTGATGAAAGAAAGCTATGAAGTTGGCGCTTGTGGGTGGGGAAGATTATGAGCCAAGAGATTACACGTGACTATCGCGAACCTCATCTCTCGATTATCTATCATGTAACATTGTTATTGATAAAATTGTTCAACAAAATGTATGCTTGTCTCGTATAACATCATAGGCCTTCAACCTCGCAACTCTAGTTGCTGCCATAAAGCTCTAGGAGCGTCTGGCGACCTGCTCTCGGCACCGACTGTGATGTCTCGTATGTGATGACACATGATTGCATCTCTGCCATAGCTTATGCTTCCCGCACATTGTGCAGACAATTCCTTGGGTTCTATTTATCTTTTCGCATATTTTTTTGATTAGATATGGAATGTCAAAGTTTGCCCAACTTCTGACCGCGGGGTGGATTAATATCTCCAAATCTAAGCGGCTCATTGGTCGAAACCCAAAATGGCACATTTGAGCCTCATTATCGCCAAGAATTGGACAATGAATCTCCGAGAAAATCAGAAAGATGGACATGTGTAGTGGTGAGAATAAGCCGCAGATGAACCCCTTCGGTCAAAGTTAAATTGGCATCAAAGAGCATTATCGATATTCTGACATCTCATTCATTATTGGAGCCTTAAAGACGTTGAACGAAATGACTTCTTCACAGGATTAGGTAAACTTCACGTTCATTATACTCAGTAAATTTCATAATTGATAGCGAGAGATTGAGAACGCCAATGGAGAAGGAAAGTGACACGTGTTGGCTAAATAGGGTATAGCACAAATGCACCCCGACCTTAATGATAGAGACAGAACCCTTCGCGTCAGTCTCAATAACAAGACTCACAATGTAAGTTCGATTGGTGCCTCAGCCATGATAGCACTGCTTTCCACAGCAAGCTTACAAAAATTGTATGAAGATCATGCTTTCAATTCAGGGAATGATTAAGAACTCTACAGCCCATGTTGACTCAATTTTATTTCAATCTCAACAGCATTTCACGCTAAATTCGTTTCATATGAAGCAAACGTCTTCATCGTACTACTCTCTTCAAACGTTCAGCTCGCACAATCTCGAATCTCGAATCTCGAAAATAGAACCATCATTTACTTCGAAATCATTCAAACCCTTTTCAATACAATAAAGAACCATTCGTCTAAGGAAATAAGTTAGTTATCAAAGTTACCTCACCAGCATTCGCGCATTGTTCGGATACAACTCAAGGCTCCAATCAAGCTCTTAACTTCTTCGCCCATCACAATAACTTCACCAAAGTTCCCAAAGGAATCAATCGTATCGCAAACAAACCGATGGAGATGACAAACGACCTATATACTGCTGGTGCATGGGCAATGATGTCTGTTCTCCTCCTTATATTCGTATCGATTCTTCTCAGTCGTGATTCCGTACATATGTCCTGGTCAAATTCCCAGCCCGACTTGAAAATGGAAGAGGAAGAAAGAATTCCACTTCTTGCGCAGGAGGAGAAAAGTGTTTAGGGTGTTTTTGGGATCAATGTTTCCAAATCAAGCTTGAGCGAATATTTTCGGTGCTTAGAAATTAGGAGTAAATGAATTATATATAACCAATATGTTTGGTCCTGGGATTTCATTAGCCCACGATGGTTCCATAGGTTTCTTTCTGCACACCTATCTCTTTTCTTTTGGCAAATGCGTGTGTAGTCATTTACTCTGTATCATTGAGCTTAGCGTATCGACTAAGTAACACCAAATGGTCTAGCGAGCTAACTAGCGAACTAGATAAGGGACCAAAGAATTTGACGTTGGCATCTGCATCGTTCTTGCCCATGATAACGATGAATAAATATGCGATTCCAAACTTAGTGTTGACATTTTCAGGAAAGTGAAGTGATCTTTCGTGAACTCTGCGAAATACTTTTTTCTGTAAGTAGTAATCCCAATCTCTCGCCATATACCCTAAACCAACCAGCAACCCACAGAAATACACACTCCTTTATGAAAAAATTCTCAAGTTTAGAAAACAACGATATTTTTTCGTCACGATGGTAAGTGCCCTTTCGGATCCGGGTGGGTCAGAAGCGATGTGCCGAAAATTCCGAACTGAAGTACCTTGGAGATGAATTAAGTAGATAGTATCATTCAAGTTCCAAAGTTCATTGGATAGACTTATTTGCCTTGAATCTTGAATGCTGACATCTCTGCTCGATAGGCACCAGCTCAATACTACTTCAACCATACCCTTCCATCGAACTCCTCTAGCCTCTTCAACTCTACTAACAATGATGAACGGCAAAAGTCTGACGAGATGCTGTACAACAAAAGGCAATACTTGAAATGGATGATGATACTATACACCCTCAAATTCATTCTTGGTGCGATCAAGCTATGCTTTACGATTCGCAACCATCGCAAAGAAAGGATGAGACAAGATGGTGCAACGGCAATTCGAGACTTGCAGGAGAAGATGCGATCTGAATCCAAAGAAAAGGGATCTTTTGGATTACACTTAGATAATGTTGAGAGAATTTCATGCGACGACGGCAAAAAAGAGTCTGTATAGACAGTTTTCCTGAGAGATCTGGTGTAGATCATCTTGCAAGGGGGCATTCAGATGAATTGAAGATTCATAGCGATTTGGGTGTTCAAGAAATTCAGGACTAAAACTTCGACAGCAAACTATAATTTGTTAATTCACAACTAGGTCGAATATCATTTTGGCAAGCTCTTGATATCATGATCCACAAGTGTCATGAGCCTATGAGATGCTAGATTTGTATGCGTAATCTTCTCATAATTTACACTAAAGCATTGAAGATCTTTTGGTCTTCGAGGACTCGGGATTGGTGTACCATTGGATAACTCCTGATCGACCTCAGGTTCAGTAATTGTAGCTACGTTACAGAATCTTTTCTGGCCTAAATTTGAGATCTATAACACAGAGTAGAAGTGGCATTTAGAAGTCAAAATGAGAAACCTTAAGTCAAGTCTAAGACTGAGACCCAAAACCAGACTATTGATATTAAACTTCGCACAAACTAAAATCAAATAGTGCATATGTTACATATATTCCCCTAGTCCTCCGTACTTCCTTCATCTTTCTATCTTCTTTTTACACCTAACATAGTCATCCAGCCAATTCTGAACAGTACTATCATCATATTTCGAGATTCGCTAAAGCTTTAAAGTTTCAAAATCTCTACATCATACATGGATCTCACACCAACCTATTCATTAGCAACTACACATTCATGAACCAACTCGGTCGTCAGAATGTCGCCAACTTATTACGGAACGGCGAACCTTGTCAAATCTATCTACACAACAGGCATGTACCAGCAACCAAGCATCACATCCTACGAAACCAACGCTACAACACACATTGAAACAGCAGAATCCTCTAGTGTGAACACAGTTCACACAAGCCCAACGATGACCAAACTCGCGCTCATTTTGGTCATGATTCTCGCAATCTCTGCATTTATCTGGTATCGCTATAATAAGATATGGATCGCGGCGTACAGGAGGTATAAAAAAGCGAAGGAAGAGAAGAAAGCCAAGAAAGCCATGCAAGCAAGGGAAGCTACAGAGTTGGAGAAAGCAATAGAAGAATCGAGAACTAGTACTTCCAAAAGCAAAGATTCTGCTCCAGTCATATGTATTAGTGTCTCAGTATCAACTTTCGATACCTCGATTTAAGCGCTGAGTTTTTGACTTTTCAAATGTACGGATATCAAAAGACGTTAGCGGTCAATCCTTTTGTAACAAGTACGTAATCACGTAATGACAATCGATGGATAATCACCTCAAACTCGACATGTCAAAGTATTCAATAGTGATCTTCATGTTAGTGTGACAGAACTAAGGTAAATGCCAAGGTGTTCAGTGTAACTAGTTGCTTGAAATGTCGTCGAGCCAAAGTCGGGGTGATTGAAAATTAATGACGCTGATTTAGCGTCATTCTTGCCCACAAATATATCTATTCAATAACTTTGATTCTTCACCTGTACATACTCTTCATCTATACATACTTCCTTTACATAATATTCGACAAGATCCCATAATTATCAAATCTTACATCGAAAAGCCACGGTGATAGAGCTCACAAGAATTAATTTATTGACTTTGATTTGAGCTTCGCTCTTTCTCCACGACTTTCGAAAACTAGTGACATTATACCTTAAGGGTTAAGTTGCAGCCAGTAATCAATTTTTATTGCAATACATTATCTTATTCTTAATTGGTATGTTGTTTCAGTATCCCCAGAACTCCTCATTATACTAATTTTTAGAAGACAATCCCAATTAATACGGCTATCTATCTTGATCAGCTCGCTACCGAATTAACAATGTCACAAATTCCGGATCGTGACCTTCATTATAATGAAGGAGATAAAAACGAGAGCATCGAGAGAGATAACTCCGATGGTTCTCTACGCTGTCCGCTCTTCGTACAGGATACCGATGAGATGATCGATGAAGATGGGAATTTGTGGATCTGTTGGGTTGATGAAGAAGAATGGAAGAAAGAACAGATAGCTCGTCAAAAAGCTGTTCGGATCTCTCGCATTTTTTGTGCGCTAGAAGCTATCGCCACGTCTTCCGAGGATGCTCCAATAGTTACAGATACTTTGATTGGCATGCCATCTGAGACAAAAACTGCCGGTATAGCTTCAGTGCCATCGACTGGCTTTTTAACAGCTACCAGTACTCCTTCAACTGAGGAATACTTTCCTTTACCAGCTGTATTGGATCCAGAGCCAGATAATTTTATTCCAGTGGTCTCTACTGGTGAGGAACATCCGCGTCCTTTGTCAGAGATCTTTGTGTTTGGGGGCTATGACTACGATACTGCAGTCGAGGACCATCACTATGATCTTGAAGACGAGGATGAAGATGACACCAGGCGACTTTTCTCTCAAGGCTTTCATTATAATACTGAAGTTGAGGATGAAGATGACGACGAAGAAGAGAGTGATAGTGATGACGAAGGCAACGATGACAGCGACGACGATAGTGGTAACTGCAACGATGATAATCTCGATACTGATACTGAGAATGAGGACCGGGATGATAGTGAGGGTGGGTGTAATCTCCATTCCGAGCCCGAGGATAATGACGAAAGTCTAAATCCGGACACGGTAGAGGCTACTCCTAGTATTCCTCTAAACAATACACTCGCCATTGCTTCCAACCAGGGGCCTGTTGAGAAATTTACTGACACCGCATGGGACTTAATCGGTAAAACACTATTCACTACCGGTGTTTGTGTGTGGAAGATAGTTCCAGAAAAGTTGAAAGATAAATTAAAAGCTCGTTTTGCTGATCATCTTGCTTCTGGCGCTGGCAGTCCCAGCACGGTCGTTGAGCAGGAGGCTCACTCACAAGAGGAAGAGAATAATAATATCTCGGAGAATGATGCGGCTGTTCCTCATGATGGACATGGTGTGGACTATTCGGATTACCTGGCTTGTATGGTTTATCTAAACTATTCAAACTACCCGGATTATCCAGACGAGATGAATGATGATTCATTCCAGGACGAGGAAGAGGAAACCTCCGGTTTTGGCAAAGAAGTATTGGCTTACGCCAAGGCTCGGAACCGTAGAATTCGTATTCTCTCTGGAATGGATGCTCGTGGTCAGGTCGTTCATAGTTGCGAAGATGCCTGCAAGGATCATGATAATATCTTGGTTCCTCTACCTGTAGATGATGACGGAGAATATAAGGAAGAAGATAAGGATGACGATGATGATGATGAGAATGATGATGACTTGGAAGAAGAAGAAGAAGAAGACGAAGATGGTGATGATGACGATGGTGATAATGGGGAAGATGATGGAGGTTATAATACAGATCTTGAAGAAGATGATGACGAAAACGAAGTAGTAACAGAATGGATAGTAGATGATGACGAAGACGAATTAATAACAGAATGGATAGATAATGATAATGATATAGGCGCAGAAAGATTAGCATGGCTAGCATATGGAGAAGACGAAGACGAAGACGAAGACACCGAAGAAGAATACGAAGAGTACGAAGACATCGAAGACGAAGAAGAAGACGAACAAGAACTTGACCAAACCCTCCCCGCCAGATTCTATCGCATCGTAATCAAAGCATGGGACTTCCTAATCGAAGAACTCGGAAACGAATGGGCGCTCGCGAACCGAACTACCTGTTACCGCTACATCAACAAGATCTGGCGACGATGGGTCGTACACGCGAGAATGCGCGGAGGGAGGGAAGATATCTGGGGAGAGAATCCGGATCTGTGGGAGGGTGAGTTGGAATTTGTGGAGAGATGTCCTTGCGATCTGAGGACTTCTAAGTATTCGCGGAGACGGTATGGGGGGCGGTTTGGGGGGTTTCGTCTTTTGTTTTATAGAGGCTAATCAGTTTTCCTTCTTTTTTGGGGGGGGGGGATTGTTAGGTACTATTACTTTTTTGGTCTTTTGTTGTACAGAAGTTGGGAGTTTTGGGGATTTTCACGTACGGTATTGCATATCACAGGTTTTAATTATCACTACCTATCTAAGTGTCTACGATTCTTCCAATTCGAAACGTAGGACAGAACAGATAGAATAATCAAACCATCGAAGAAAAAACATTGGCACTAAAATAGAACAGAAGAAAAGAAGATGAGACATAAAGAGACACAAGTGAAACAAAAAACAATCTATCCCCCTCCTCTCCAAAAGCTCCGTAACAAGAACATCGAATTCCATCTAACAGAAAATTGTTTTCATACTCTCAAAATCCATTCAATTATTCCTCACATCTATCAAATCTCATCCCATCTCATCCATCCCTATCAAATCTCATCCCTCTCCCTCGCCCAACCCACCATCCACTCCCAAATACTTAAAAAATTCCACAAGCATGTATGTGATCACTGATCAGTCAAGCACGAAAACGGGATAGAGATAGGCTGATGTAAAAACTAAATATAAGGAATAGATAAACAAACAAACAAACAAGAAGAGTTCATCACCTGATTAGCAAATCCCATCGGCTAGAGAAAAATATAGAACGGAAAATAGGAGAGAGATAAGAGAGAAGCACGCTGATAGATGATTATGATGATGATGATAGATGATGATGCACACTAGTTCCTCGCGTTCAATTTCAATTTCAATTTCAATTTCAATTTCAATTCAAACTTCATGACTTATAACAAGAAACACTATAATCAGCTACACCAATCGTCTGGGTATGCAAATGCATCACCATACCATGCCGGATTTCCACAGCATCCGGAAATTCCATTCCAATACCTCTCTAACTAATCCCCAAGTCCGAAAAGAAACACACCCATCCAATTGCCAATCCCCCAAGCATCATTTGTGGAAAAAATTCTCTCGCAAAGAAGGATGATATCTATCTAGCTCATACACGATACCACTATTCTGCACACTAAAATGAATGCAAATATCAAAAGGCCCCCAAAAACCCCTCCTACAATTTCCCACACAAGGTCTTCATGTAATCATCACAATCCGATTCCGAAAACCCTTCACATGTGTTTCAGAGCCACGATTACTGGCCCCGCTAAAATGTGCCCTCGTGCTCAAACAACGTATCAGGGATGTCTAGAATCCTTGGAAACTTTATTTGACATTTAATATGGAACCGCTGCGCTCGCGTTCAAACAGTGAGTAAGTCGTGTAGAGCTATGCGATCGATATTTCTCGCTTCCACAGATTCAGATCAACATAACAAAAATCCCAACATGATTGGAGCGGAGGCATCTCCTCACTACTGATCCAATTCGTGCCTCCCAATCTGCGTCTTCAATTCAACATTGCACATGCGACATGACGAAGTTTGCGCAAACCCTCCGAGGAGAGAACGAAACAGAAAAACACATCCCCAATAAAATTGGGAAAAGCGCGAAGCAAGGAAAACTAGCAGCAAAGAGCTCGCATAATGTGGTATCGAATATCTCAAGCTACATCTGAGTCCACTTTCACATTTTGAATTATTGGAGCGGAAAGGATGGTTTTCATGTCCCCCAGGGGGAAAAATATATTTGAAAAGTGTCCCGTGCCGTGATAAGTGCATATATGGGCATAAAAACGGGTAGGGCTTATTCACTTCCTTGCGCCCATTGCATACGCGATGGGTGGGTGGATTTGACTCACTTGATACATGATCGCACATAATGTACGATGGATAAATGACAGGGTAGGCTAAAGTTAAATCGGCTCTCTAAGAACCTTTCAACTCTGATAATATATTCTTCGATATATCAATTCGAATTGTCCAATAAAATAACCAGGATATTTTCAGGATCCTACAACACTTTTGAACTCCTCATTAAAACTCGAGAATCAAATATTCTCTCCGTCTTGTGTAGTAGTATGCGATTCATTTCGTTCGTCCCGTGCATATGTATCCAAGTCTGTTAACGCATTCATACACCACTAAGGCACGCCGCGAAAACTGATTCAGAGCTGGGGGCAAAAGACGATCATGCTCCTTAGCGTGGCCCTTGATATCGGCCCCGACATTGCATGAACACCATGGAGTAACGCACAGCGTAACTACTAAGTACACTGTGGAGAGGGAAGAAAACGGAAGCTAGATGGGAAATGGTAGGGGGAAAAAATGAAGGCGCATCAGAACGAAGTCGCATCCAAACACTACCTACTCTTTTCATCGTTTTGCCCATCCAGTAAAATCCACTGACTCTATGCAGTTACATTCGAACTAGGTATTGCAAAGGAGGGGCAAAAAGTTGAGGGGCAAAATAAATGTTAATTCCTCATCATTATTAACATATGAAAGAGGGGCCCGAAATTATGATAATTAATCATCCACCCATGCATTTCCCCGTACGTGCATATAGCACGGACCATACCACGTGTGAAATTTGACGTTGGGCACGAATAATAAGGAAGAGGTTGGGTGGATTCAGTGGGTTGAGGGAAGAAAAGCATGGGAAAGACTTTTTTTCTTTGCTATGGGGATGGGATTTTATATTTTGTTGAGCTAAGCCGGAAGGATGGCCCGGGGTACTTGTACATGGAGAGTGAAGAGCTGGTGCTGGTGCTGATGCTGATGCTGATGCTGATGCTGATGATGAATTTTCTTGGAAATGAATAACGCAACGGATCAGAATGTGTACCGGGCGTTCCCGATTTTGGGCATGAAAATATATAAAGGGAGGATTGTGGATGAGTGGAATAGCTAATAGTATGAGGAATCCGGGGTTCAGGCTGAGTACCCACCCCGGGGAATATAAAAAAGAAGGAACAATTCGGAGAGACATTTCTTCAAAGGGGCTGGGATCATTGATATTCATCATGAAATAACCTTGGAACTGGTAGAAAAGATCAAAAGTCTTGTCGAGGGCAAGGCTACTCGGTACGATGTACATATGCAAGGCTTTGATTCGTATCACATTTGATTACGCATGGTCGGCGATAATTCGCCTTTTTTTGTATGGATAGAATAGAATGAGAGCCTCACTAAAAGTCTAAGTCTAAGCCATGCTGGAAAGATGATTTGTTTCAGAAATACCGATTGGGAAGTTTGTTGTACTCTTGATATTGTGTGTATTTAGTTAAACGGCGATACATGAAAGTTAACGCAGATGTCAAGACGAGTACAAAGAGTAAAGCCCGAGATGAGATAAATGCACGTGGATTGCACGTGTCAACTAAGACAAGAGACAGCGCAAGTCGATTGACATCATCATGTGATGCATATCTTCACCAAAAACTCATCCTTAAATATCTACTTCTGCACTGCATCAAACGTATGCATCAAGTCCTTTAGCCCCCAAAAGGGTAAATGGATGCATTGCGCCACCGATGCAAAAGTCTCTTTTTGGTACAGATTACACATTACGCATTAAACCCTTGCAGCCTTCTAAGGCGGGAAGAAAGGATCAAGAATGAGGAATGAGGCGACGCGGGGAGAGAGAAATATATCAAAAACCTTGGAAGTGATTGCCAATACTCGTACAGGCAAAATGGAATCATTCGCGATAAATCTAAATCATCTGGAGTAGAAAGAAGAGTGAAGAAGAAATCAAAATCAAAACTCGTGAATGTGCGACCTAATCCTTCAAATGTAATTTCCATATACTTCTTGAGCATTCTCAATTGCTTATGAAAATGGTCAGAAGGATAAATTGGCAAGTTTTGAATGGGTATGAGGTCTCAGTGCAACATTGGATGGATATTTCTTGGGACGAGTGACTTTTTTTGAGTCAGAATTGTGGGGATATACTTATCCCCTTCATCTATAGGCAGAGAGGGTGCCAGTATGTATTCCTTTCCCGAATAGGAAATGGAGAAGTCCAATAAATGATATATGATGAGGTGACTCAAAGGTAAATAGATGTATGTATGTACAGATAAGTAGATGTAGGCAGCTAAGCACGGGACGGGAAGTATTATGGGTGGATGCAGGTCTACGGCGTTGAGATCCCTCTCTTCGAAAAGTTGAGTCGAATGCAAAAACGACAGGACACATGATATCGAACAAGCAAAAGACAAAGTAATAGACAATTGAGGAACGCGCAGGAATAAAAGGTAATTGTGGCTTAGAGTAAACTATTGCAAGAGTGCGAACCAAACGGCAGTGCAGTGTAAAGAAGCGGTGAGGCATGGTAAAATTGAGGGTGTAGTGGGGTGAGATATCATTCATCGACGTGAAATGTTGCGGCTTGAACTTTTATTTTAGTTTCAGAGTTGATTGAGATATCTATTATCCGTTTGACTCTTCGAAGAGCCTTTGACGTAAAAATGGTGCTTCTAGATGCAATAGTCCGATGCTTAATTGATGTTCTATAGTTTGAGCTTGTGAAGGCGCGAGAATAACATTGTCTTGTGATAGTGGGTGGGAGATAGTAATAATAGTAGGATGGAGGAGGGGCAAGTCTCAGCCTTGTATACAAGTAACGCGAGGGAAAGAAAAGATGGCGAAGAACTTTGAGATGGAGGGGGAAGCAATATGAGGGAAGGAAATCATCTGCGATATCGATATAGATAAGATACACAATAAACTGTGCTGCAGAAATGCTACCACTAGATAGCGTCTCTGCGCTCTTGTCCCGTCTTCTATCTCGTTTTCATCTACCGTACAGGAGGATTTAAAGGCTTTGACGCAACCAATTTATGCCTCTGACTCGAATCGGTACTTGGGTACTTGAGTACTTAGGTACGTACAATACAATACATGCATCGAGTACGACAGCGGGTGTTACCTGTCAGATATTTCGGTTTTGTACATGGTAATCAAGGTGATGTGAACATGTGCCCCCGATCTTTGCTTGTGTGTCCTCTATCTTCGGTCGGAAAAGACGACCGAAAGGGATTCAAACTAGGTAGGCGAGGGTAGTAGCATCCTCTTTGCAGTAGACTACAGTAGCGCCGCAAATCGA